GGGTGAAGCAGGAGAGGCCCATCCCTCTCCCTGGGAAGACTTCTGGAGGAGATCTGCAGTCCAAGGACCCAGAGCACTCTTGGACATAAATGCCCATGGTGACTGCTTCATGCATGTCACTGAAAGGCAGTGGAGGGGACAGAAATGAAAAGCAATGAGCGGAAGGAATAAAGAACTACCCGGTACAGAAACAAGGGATGCTGGGCACGGTGGTGCATGGCCTCAAGCCTACCATGCAGGCTGAAGCAGGAGGATTGCGGTTTGAGCTAACCTTGAACTACATTTCAAGACCGTATCATCTCGTTTTAGAGGTGGGTCAGGCAGTGGTGGCACACACCCTTAATCACAGCACTCAGGAGGCAGAGGCAGGTGGATCTCTGTGAGTTCAAACCCAGCCTGGTCTACAGAGTGAGTTTCAGGACACCGCTGCCTGGCCCATCTCTATTTTTTTTTAAAAATTTAGGTTTCCTCTTTCCTTATTTATGTCTTGATAACCAACTCTCTCTCTCTCTTTCTTTCTTTTTTTTTTTTTTTCGAGACAGGGTTTCTCTGTGGCTTTGGAGCGATAACCAACTCTTTGATTCTTTGGATTGCTCTTTCAGTCTTGGTCTCAAGCCCTCATCTTTATTACATTGACTTACACACTAAAAGTATCGAGACACACTCATCAAGTTATTTGCTTCGGACTTGTTTAATTTTTTAATTTTTACTCCTATTCATGGGTATGTGTGTATGCACATGTGTGTGGGTGTCTGAGGAGACCTCAGGAAGGTGTTGAGTCCCTGGAACTGGAGTCCCAGGTGGCTGTGAGAGACCAGTGTGGATGCTGGCCACTAAGCTCCTGTCGTCTATAAGAGCAGAGAGTGCTTTTAACATGAGCCAATGCTTCAGCTTCCTCTTTGATTTTTTTTTTTTTTTTTGGTTTTTCGAGACAGAGTTTCTCTGTAGCTTTGGAGCCTGTCCTGGAACTAGCTCTTGTAGACCAGGCTGGTCTCAAACTCACAGAGATCCACCTGCCTCTGCCTCCCAAGTGCTGGGATTAAAGGCGTGCGCCACCACCGCCCGGCTCCTCTTTGATTTTTTTTTTTAAAAAATTGTACTGTTTTTTTTTTTAAAATATTTATTTATTTATTATGTATACAATATTCTGTGTGTATTCCTGAAGGCCAGAAGAGGGCGCCAGACCTCTTTACAGATGGTTGTGAGCCACCATGTGGTTGCTGGGAATCGAACTCAGGACCTCTGGAAGAGCAGGCAATGCTCTTAACCACTGAGCCATCTCTCCAGCCCTCCTCTTTGATTTTTAAAGATTTTATTTGAGAACAGTTATTATTTTATTTTTATATGTATAGGTGTTTTGTCTATATGTCTGTGTTGGCCAGAATACGGCGTCAGATCTCCTAGAACCAGAGCTTCAGAAGGTTGTGAACTGCCGTGTGGGTGCTGGGATCTGGACCCAGGTCCTCTGGAAGAACAGTCAGTGCTCTTAACCACTCAGATATCTTCCTGACCCTGATTAAAAAGTACTTTTTAGGTTTATTTCTTTTATGTGTGAGTGTTTTCCATGCAAGTATGTTTGTGAGCCTCGTGCCTGTTGTTCATGGAGATCAGAAGAGCCGTTGTGAACTGAGAGAGCCCTTGGAACTGAGTTACAGACAGTTGTGTGTGAGCTGCCATGTGGGGCTGGAACTCAAACCTGGGTCTTCTGCAAGAACAAGTGCTCCTACCGCTTTGAGCCTCTCCAGTCCACAGCCCTGGATTTTTAAACATAAGCATTCAGTTGTAAACTTCTTTCTTGGCTGCAACCAAGAATTGAGCTTTCACGATCATTTGTATCCAGTTTATGGTCTCCTTTCTTCAGTGACCTATTAATCACTCAGGTGTGCTGCTCAATTCCTGCGTTCGTATAATTTCTTTTGCTATTGTTTTCTAGTTTTATCCCCCTGTGATTTGATGCCAGATCTTTCTCTGCATACTGCACCCCACCCAGCCGGACCTCTTTGCCTCCTTTTCCCAATTCCCATGGTGTACACTGCCTGGGCTTCCTCACTCTCTGACTTCCTGTTGCTAATTGGACACATATGCAGAAGGCTGCAGAGAGAAGGTGTCCAGTTTTTACCTCCAAATGCTTTAGGTCATGGCTGGACCATGGCTGCATCTTCTCCAAGGCTAGAACTCCCCTTTCAGCATCCTTACAATTACTGATACTGTCATTGAGTTCCTTGCCAGCTCCCTACCAACCTTTGCTACTTCTCTCAGGCCACACCTTTGCAGACCTCTATCTGACCCTCTTTAATTGTTCCTTTGAGAGTCTACATATGGAGAGGGTGTCCCTGTGGAGAGGGTGTCCCCTGTCCACAGCCCATGTCCCCTGTCCACAGCTGATGTGGGAAGGTCATTTGTCGATCTGTTGATTCATTGGTTAATCAATAAAGAAAACTGCTTGGTCTGATAGGTCAGAAAATTAGGTAGGTGGAGTAAAGAGAACAGAATCCTGGGAGGAAGTGAGGCAGACACCATGCCTCTCCTCTTCAAGGCAGACACAATGAAGTTCCAGCCCAAGATGGACGTACACTAGAATCCTTTCTGGTAAGCCACCACTTTGTGGTGCTACACAGATTGTTGGAAATGGGTTAGTCAAGATATGAGAGTTAGCCACTAAGAGGCTAGAGCTACTGGGCCAGGCAGTGTTTAAAAGAATACAGTTTATGTGTTGTTATTTCGGGGCATAAGCTAGCCAGGTGGCTGGGAGCCAGGCGGCAGGAACACAGCCCGCAGCTCCCTTCAACTCACAGCCCGTGTCCCCAGTCCACAGCCATGTCCTCTCTCTACAGGGAACCCTCCCTACAGGGACACCATCTCCACAGCCCATGTCCCCTCTCCACAACCCATGTTCTCTCTCCACAGGGGACATGGGCTGTAATCTCTCAGATCTTCCCATGCACACTTATCACTGGGCACCTTGCTCAACGAGGTTCTAGCTCAGCAGTTCTGGAGAAGGCCCAAATTCTCTATTTTCTAGCACGTTCTCCAAATTCCTCTGTGGTTGGCATGAGGAAGATGAACAGACTATAGAAGAGGGAGGGGGGAAAGAGCTCTGTAGCCCCCTCCCCATCCTGCAGAAGGAGGTAACACAGCTGAGGTCAGGGGTTAGAGAAAGCCACTGTCAACATTGCAAGCCCTCAGATACTGCTTTCAAGATGACTAGTGAATACTTAAAACAACAGTCATGGTAGGGTAGCGGAGATGGCTCAGCGGGTGAAGCACTTACAATGTGAGACCTGGGGTTGATCCCCAGAACCCACACAAACCCAGGCACAGGAGTGCACGTTTGTGTCCCCAGTGCTCCTGCTGAGAGATGTGAGCCAGAGACCAAGTCCCTGGAAGCTCACAGGGAGCTAGCTTGGCTGTGCAGAGGTACGCAACAGGACACTGTCTCAAACAATGCAGAAGGTTAGGGCCAACACCTAAGATGGCCCTCGGACCTACACACACAGTCAGTCACACAGACACCAGATATAGACACACCCACACAGACGCTCACACACAGACATACAGTCAGACATAGAGATATAAACACCCCCCACACCCACTTACAGACGCTCACACACAGACACAGTCAGACATAGAGATACAAACACCCCCCCCACACCCACTTACAAACGCTCTCACACAGACACACACAGTCAGACACAGAGATATAAACACACCCACACAGATGCTCACACACAGACACACACAGTCAGACACAGAGATATAGACACACCCACACAAACACCCACATACAGGTGCTCACACGCAGAAACACACAGACACACATAAGAACATACAGACACATACACAGACTTGAATTCATGCATACACACCATATACGCAAATAAATTCTTAAAAAATGGTACAATAATGTAGAAATTAAATACATTTATCAAGTGTTTGTGGGAAATAACTGTTTATTTTAAATATATCAAAAGCTTTATGTTAAGGAAACCCTTCTCCCTCCCCATTTTCACAAGCATTACCATTCTCAAAGCATTTGCAGTGACAGCTTGGGTTCCTAGCTAGCCAGTCACTCATGCCCTTCTGACATGCAGGCTCATGTCCTTTCATCTTTATTTAGAAGACAGCAAGTCAGTAAAATTTATGAGCTAATGCGTTGAGCTTACTTTACACTTCATGTCTACAAAAGAATGCATTGGCACAGGTTAATAATTTATAATAAACTTATTAATACCCTTGTATTAATACCACCTACTTACATGTTGATGTAAATTCAGTGTTCTGGGTTAATTTGAGTTACTGACAGAATCCCCATGTGGAAACAGAGGTTATTTTACATAACTAGTAATAAAAATAGAAGTGCCACTTCACAAGAGATTAGAGTCTAATTTAAAAATACGCAGTCTCTGGGTTTACTCCGTCGAGTTCTTCTTTGGCTACATACCGGAAGCATCTTCTCCATTTCCTCTGCAGCAGACGTATCCCAGCAGGCTCCCTCAGGCCTTCGTTTAACCTAGTTATGGTCAGTGGGATTTTGTATGCTGTTCTATGCCGATTCGTAGCTACTGATCCTACTGTTTCCCAAAGCTTCCATCAAACACGTGGCGGCACGGAAAACACATTGTGAGGTCTTTTCTCTTCCTTTGGTAAACTCCCATCGCCAGCACATTTGTTTTTGTGGTACCAGAGTGTTGGGGAATATTGTTTTAAGGTGTGTGATTTTTGTTTACGCTGCATTTGTTTAACTCTGTGAAGCTGTGATTCTTTGCCTGTCTAAAACACCTGATGGCCAATAGCGAGGCAGGAGCAGGGATAGGTGGGGCTGGCAGGCAGAGAGGATAAATAGGAGGAGAAATGAGGAAGAGAGGAGCAAGAGAACAAGGAGAGGAGAATGTCAGGGGCCAGCTACCCAGCTACCCAGCCACCCCTGGAGTAAGAGTGAAAGGTTTACAGAAGAGAAAGTTAAAAGCCCAGAGGCAAAAGGCAGATGGGATAAATTAAGAAAAGCTGGCTGGAAACAAGTCAGCCTAAGGCTGGGCATTTGTAAGTAATAATAAGCCTATTTGTATGATTTATTTGGGAACTGGGTGGTGGCCCCCCAAAAAGCCAAAAGAGTGAAACATCGTACAACACCGGAGATTGAACCAAGGACCTCACACCTGCCAGACAGTGCCCTGTCTCTAAGCCACACCCCCACTAAGCCACCTCCTTTTCAACTATAAAACCACCACAACCAAAGACATGAGCCAGAATTTCTTGTGCCATACAAAAATAGACACTCCCATGGTGCCTCAGAATACATGTATGGCCGCCATCACCTTGACACCTTCAGGAAGAATTCAGATAGAAAAACATGGTGTGCTTACTTCTGGGCTAATACCCTGGAGTCAACTGGAGGTAACACCTTACAAGTCACTGTCGAGATGCTGAGGTCAGGCTAGACAGGGCACATGAGGTGCTCACCACCCCATCTCCAGGCCTTCCTGGGTTCCAAGACCACCACAGATGACAGAAGCCAACGGCTCTTCGTATGAATACACATCAGAGCCATCTGAAGAGTCTGAGCTCAGAGCTGGCCCCATCCCAGGCTTCCTGAGTCTGGGGTGAGACTAAAGAATTTACATCTCACCGTGCACCATCTTGTGGTGGCGCATGCCTTTAATCCCAGCACTCGGGATACAGAGGCAGGCAGATCTCCTGAGTTCGAGGCCAGCCTGGTCTACAGGGAGAGTTCCAGGACAGGCTCCAAAGCTGCAGAGAAACCTTGTCTGGAAAACCAAACCAAAACAACCCTCCACGCCAAAAGAAAAGAATGTATGTCTCCAACCAATCACCCGGTGATGCGTTGCTGGTCTGATAAACATCCTTGTAGAAACCACACCTGGTGAGATGCCACTCGACGGTCAGTCTGACAGGAAATGGCTGGGTTAGATCAACCCAGGGCAATCCATGTCCACATTCATTGCTTCTCTGCCAAGCAGGCACCTGTATTCGATATGCCAGTCTTTGTGCTTTGTCAGACATTATCCCCCTTCCACATCGCTCCCTCTTACTGGAGTTCAGAGAAACAGTTAATCCCGAGAGAGGAGACTAAGAGTTGGCCTTTGTCATCAGCCCTGGTAGCAATCCCAGGCACTTGTAGGCACAGAGCAGACAGGGACACCAGATGTTGTCCTCACTGGCACTAAGGTCACCTTGTTCTTAAAGGAAAACAGTGGGCTGTCCCACAATTGCGGGACCAGGGGTGGGCATGTGCCTGTTTGGTCCTCATGCACCAAGGCAAAAAAAAACGTCAGTGTTAAATTCTCTCCAAATTCAGCAAACAGAAAAAGGAACTCCAAAGTTTATAGTGTATGTTCTGGCTCGAGACTCGTTTGTCCTAGGCACCGTCACATGATCCTTCCCTGTCCCGGTCCACAGTGCAACGTCTGTTTCCTAACACGGCCCCCGGATGCGCAGCTCATCGAAACTCTTTCCTATATTTCAGGGCATGGAGTCTGTGACTCCCTAAAGATGCAGACATTAGTGCGATAAAAACAGAAGGTGATTTAAACAACAGTCCAACCTTACGTTGGAACAGGGCCAAAGCAGAGGTCTGTGATTTGGGTAGTGAATTCCAGGGAGCACGGTTGAGGAGGACTCCACCAGACCCTTTCCGCTCTCTAGGTGCCTCCAGAGACACTTCTCAGCGTGTAGAAGGAAGGCTTGAACTTTAGAGGGTGAACCCTTTCCACCTTCGATCCTGAGAATTATCAGTGTGGTGCTTCACAGTTAGCCTTCCTCTGAGCGGCTTTGTGAGAAGCCATGCTGACAGAGGCTAGACCTTCTCCATCTCGATCTGCTGGTGGTAGTGTCTAGCCTGCCGCTGTCCTACGTTCAGCTTGTATACAGAGCTCTTGTGCTGGTACCTGCGGTAGCCCCACACAGCCCCCACGACCGCCAGGAGCAGCAGCAGGCACAGGACAGTGACAATGATGGCGATCACTGGGCCTCTCCTTAAGTTGGGACACTCGTTCCCCACACATGGTGCCAAGGTTGGAAGAAACTTCTCGCTTGCACCAGGCCCAGGACCCTCCTGTCCCAAGAAGTCCTCAGACAGTAGGTATGGGAAGTTGTCCTGAACCTCAGGAGCTGTGGCCTCTGCTGGAGGCTGGGTGGCCTCCACACTAGTCAAGGGGTTGAGTTTAAGTGTCTGCTGCACAGTTGTTGGGACCGTCTCTTGGGTGGAGGTGGTGAGTTCATAGGGTAAGGTGGCCATGGGTGACCACTCTGTGGTGACTCTCCGGGGTATGGTTGATTGATACTTAGTCAAGTCACCATCACCGGTGTGGGGAGCCTCAGTCTCGGACACATCCATGGGTCCTGGAACCAGGGCCTCTACATCGAGCATTTCAGACGGAACAATCGAACTGTGTATCACAGATTCGCTTGTGGTGACGGTGGCATTCTGCACCTTAACTTTCCCAGTAGGCTGGTCAGGGGTCACGAGAACACTTTCGTCCAGTCCCACTGACCCATCATCCTCCCGCCCTGCCTCTACCTTCCTCCAGGCCCCGTCTGTCACAGGGTAGCCATCTAACCAAGAGTCGTCACTGCCGCTCACCACCGGGTCCTCTGCTCTGCTGTCGTTCCTATCCACAAACGGCTCCGAGGGGCTGTCGGTGGTGGCATAGACCAGCCTAGTTTCAGACTCCCCTGGGACCAGTTTTCCTTCGCTGTGATTTTCTCCAGCAGGAAGTGGATCTTTGCTCTCATCCCCCACTTCCTTTTCCAGCTCTGACTTGTGGAACGTCTCAGCAGGAAACCAGAGTGAGTACTTCCTGTTTAGGCGGGATCTGGGCCAGTCTGTGTGGACCCTGCTCCCAGGGCCAGGCAAGCCTGTGGTCGGCATGAAGGCTTTCTCCTGGGCTATGTTTTCTTTAGACACAGAGGTGAAGACCAGACGGTCTTGTTTTGGTGTCTCCTCAGAGGCGTCCTCCTGAGCCTTTTCCTCGTCTCCCTCTGCTTGGGAGTCTTCCATGAGTTCCCTGAGTGACACAGATCTGTCATCTGGGAAATTGTCTTCATAGTCAATGTGGGCCTCGGCCTCATCTGAAGGGAAAGAGGAGAAACCTTGTTAGATCTAAAGACGTGGAATTAATGTAGAAAACCTGAAGGGGAACAGAACACGAGACTGAAGAGAACAAACAGCCCTGGTGTTGCTAGGGAACCATAGCCATCCCGGAAGAATGCACATTTAGGCAATTATAACTAAAAGATGAGCTTATCATAGGCATTGGGGCGCTATGAAATATTAAAAAATTAAGCATATTTGTATATACTAGAAACCATCGTTTTAAAGGGATTTTCAGGAAACTAATAGTTTTAAGGAATGGTAGCGTATGCCAGTAATTCTGACATTTGCAGTAATGAGGCAGGAGGGCATGAGTTTGAGACTAAGCCATGCAGTGAGACCCTGTCTAAAGAGTGTGTGTGTGGTGGGTGATGGGGGGGGGGGGGGTTGCGGGACGGGGTAGCTCAGTTAGGAGTGTGTTTGCTAGCATGCATAGTCTAGTTGGTTTTCTATACCCGTGATAAATACCACGACTAAATGGAATTTGGTCAGCTTATACTCTGAGTCACACTCCTTCCTCGAAGGAAATCAGGGCAGGAACTAAAGCAGAACCATGGAAGAGCACTGCTTCCCAGCACGCTCTTCGGGCTGCGCTCAGCTAACTTCTCCCTTCCTCTCCCTCTCAGAAACCCTGGCTGATCTGGGACTCACCATGTAGACGGGGTTTGCTTCCAACCCAAATTTACCTGCCGCTGTCTCCTGAGTTCAGCTAACTTTCTTATCCAGCTCAGGTCCACAATGAGCTGGGCCCTCCTGAATATCCATCAGTCTAGACACTGATCCAGACATGCTCATAGGCCATCTTGCTCAAGGCAATTCACTCTTTTCTGGGTGACTCAAAGTTGTATCAAGCCAATGACAAACAGTGACCAGTACAGGGCACAAGTCCTGGGTTTGATCCCTAGCACCACATAAACCAGATGTGAACATGCCTACCTGTTATCCCAGCTCTCAAGGGGTAGAGGCAGGAGGATCAGAAAGTCCAGGCCATCCTCAGCTACATAAGGAGTTTGAGGTCAGTCTGGGATATATGGGACTTGTCTCAAACACATGTGTGCACGCACACACACACACTGTAAATCAATAAAATGTAAAAATATTGAATGAATAAAATTTAAAAAGAGGTCAGGAACACACGTGTCTAACCTGAGCACCGGAGGTTAGAGACAGGACAATTCCCCAAGATTTGCTGTCTAGCTAGACTAGCCAAAAACAGAACTTAAGGTACAGTGAGAGACTGTCTCAAAACAAAACAGGGGGAAAGGAGCTAGGGAGATGGTTCCGTGGGCCATGAAAGTATAAGGACATGAGTTCAAATCCCCAGAACCCACATAAAGCCCAGTGGGTGTCTTAAGCCTGTGACATCCCAGTGCTCCCCCAAGGAGAGACACACAGGGTGTCCAAGGCTCACCAGCCTACTGGTCTTGTGTATTCAGTAGGAAAATGAACCTGTCTCAGAGTGAAGGACCAGAACCCGAGCTTGTTCCTTGTCATCTTTCCAGGCCTGCTTTGACCCAACTCTGACACTTAGTGAACTTGAGGGAAGGCCAACTGCCTGTCTTGAAATCTGTCACGTTGAGGTTCACAAGCTTTTGTATGTGAGGTCTTACTCATGATGCTAAATAAACAGCGGGGTTTTGTTTACAAACTGTACTTTACTACAAAACACACAAGATAGACGACAAAACTTTTCTCTAAAATTTATGTGAAACTGACCAGTTGTTCTGGATTCAGGAGGAGATTTACAAAGGCCTCCGTGAAGTCTTGGGCCTCAGGAATAAAGAGGTTAGGTTTGCCTGAGTTCACTGACTGGCCTTGACGGGAACGTTGCCGATGGATGTGCTCCCCAGTCTTCCCTTTGTCTTTTTGTTCTTCTCTCTCCATGTAGCCCTGGCTGAAACTCAGTAGACTGGGCTGACCTTGAACTCAGAGGTTCATCTGTCTCTGCCTCCCCAGGGCATTATGTATCCATCCCAGCAAATAGCTGAGTATGATCTTAAACTTCTCCCCAGAGCCTCTTACCTCCACATCTTCAGTGCTGAGATTGTAATTACTAGACACTTCACAAGGCTCTAAATGATTATTGTTTCTTATTAAATTTTTTTTATTGTGTAATATATATATATACATATATATATATATATATATATATATTATGGGTGTTTTGCCTGTGTGTGTGTATGCATGCGTGAACCGTGTGTGTACTGCTCACAGAAGCCAGAAGAGGGCATTGGAACCCCTAAAACTGGAGTTACAGATGGTTGTAAACCACCACGTCATTCATTCATTCATTCATGCCCTAGCAACGCTTAAGCATGCATGGGCAGCCCGTTTATGGTGTTCTCCAGTTGTTCCTATCCTGGACAGTGCTAGATGTTTGTGTTATTGTCATATCCAAGGTTCCATAGTCTTCCTTTATGCTGTCTATCCAGCATTTTGGGGGCCTTCCTCTTTGCCTTACCCCATGCACTCCTCCAAACAGTGCTATCTTTGGGTATCTGCCAATCATTCATTCTCATAACATGGCTGAAGTATCTCTAGTGCCATTGCTGCCATGAAACCCAACATGGAACTGCCATGTGTGTGCTGGGAACTGAACTCAGGTCCTCTGGAACAGCAGCCGTCGCTCTTAACCACTGAGTGATCTCTCCAGTTCCCTGATAATTGATTGAGCCAGGTTTTGGGGTGAGGGTGGTTTACTGTGCAGAAAAGCTAAGACATGGCAATGGATTGCTTGCAGGAGGGAATCCAAGTATTGAATTTTTAGGATAGGATAAGAAGACCTATTGCGAGTATTTTAAAAAATATCTATCTATCTATCTATCTATCTATCTATCATCTATCTATCCATCTATCTATCTATCTATCTATCTATCTATCTATCTATCTATCATCTATCTCTATCTATCTATCTATCTATCATCTATCTATCTATCTATCATCTATCTATCTATCATCTATCTCTCTATCTCTCTATCTATCTATCATCTATCTATCCATCCATCTATCTATCTATCTATCATCTATCTATCTATCATCTATCTATCTATCTATCTATCATCTATCTATCCATCCATCTATCTATCTATCCATCTATCTATCTATCTATCTATCATCTATCTATCTCTCTATCTCTCTCTCTATCTATCTATCATCTATCTATCTATCATCTATCTATCTATCTATCTATCATCTATCTCTCTCTATCTATCTATCATCTATCTATCTATCTATCTATGTATCTATCTATCATCTATCTCTATCTATCTATCTATCTATCTATCATCTATCTATCTATCATCTATCTATCTATCTATCTATCTATCTATCTATCTATCATCTATCTATCTATCTATCTATCTATCGTCTATCTATCTATCTATCATCTATCTATCTATCTATCTATCATCTATCTATCATCTATCTATCTATCTATCTATCTATCGTCTATCTATCTATCTATCTATCTATGTATCTATCTATCATCTATCTATCTATCTATCATCTATCTATCTATCTATCTATCTATGTATCTATCTATCATCTATCATCTATCTATCTATCTATCTATCTATCATCTATCTATCTATCTATCTATCATCTATCTATCTATCTATCTATCTATCTATCATCTATCTATCTATCTATCATCTATCTATCTATCATCTATCTATCTATCTATCATCTATCTATCATCTATCTATCTATCTATCTATCATCTATCTATCTATCTATCTATCTATCATCTATCTATCTATCATCTATCTATCTATCATCTATCTATCTATCTATCTATCTATCATCTATCTATCTATCTATCTATCTATCTATCATCTATCTATCTATCTATCTATCTATCTATCATCTATCTATCTATCATCTATCTATCTATCTATCTATCTATCATCTATCTATTATCTATCTATCTATCTATCATCTATCTATCTATCTATCTATCTATCTATCTATCTATCATCTATCTATCTATCATCTATCTATCTATCATCTATCTATCTATCTATCATCTATCTATCTATCTATCTATCATCTATCTATCTATCTATCATCTATCTATCTATCTATCTATCATCTATCTATTATCTATCTATCTATCTATTATCTATCTATTATCTATCTATCTATCTATCTATCTATCTATCTATCTATCTATCTATCTATCATCTATCTAGAGACAGTGTCTTGCTGTGTTGCCCATGCTGTACTAAAACTCATCATCTCCTAAATTGCTGGGCTTACAGATATTAATCCTCATGTCTGCCTCACAGAGGCATCTTTGAATGAATGAAAGAGTAAATTGTTCTGGCATGAGGAAGGAGAAAATCTGAAGTAGCTCACACCCCAAACTGCTCTCCAAAGCGGCTTCATAACCACTCAGAACCAAAGACCTTTTTCCAGAAGCTCAGCCCACCAAACGCAAGGGGGATACTGGCCCACTGCCAACTGATGAGGAACGGACGGCTTGTACCAAGTCCTCTGAAAAGACGCCATTGTTGGGCACACACACAGACACACACACACACGAGGCCAAGAGCCCAGCTCCTCCTTGATGCCTGAACCCCCCCCCCCCCCCCCAGTTTAACAGAACACCCCGGCAGACCACTGCTGGCGGATTCGTCATAAAGAGGAAGAGAGGAGATTTTTCACTAGCATCAAATCTTACTGCACGGAAGCTTGGCATTCCTCTCATCCTACAAGTTATTCTAGGCGGTGTCCAACTTGCTTTTAATTAAAAGTGGAGGGGGGAGCTGGTAAGATGGTTGGGCAAGTAAGATGCTTGCTGTCTGGTGATCTGAGTTCTCTCTCCACGTGGTGGAAGGAAGGAGCTGGCGGCCACAGTTGTCCTCTAACTTCCACTCTTGTGCTGTGGTACATGTACACACACACATACACACACACACATACACACACACATACACACACACACATACACACACATACACACACACATACACACACA